GAAATAATTCATATGAATTCGTTCAGAAAATTTTCTATATTTTAAATAGAATATATGAGTTAGAAATAACATAATAACTTCTGAAAAACAATCGAAATGATCTTATTTATCTCTAACAGGTGTTCCGAAAGAAATTACACTAAGTCTCAATACTTTTTTTTTATTAATCACAAAAATTTTCCTCTTATGCCTGAAGGCAAAGAATTTCAAGGTTTACAAACTTGTTGACTTTCTTTCTGAAACAGCTTTCTCGTGTCAGCGCAAAATTTCGAAGAAGAACAACTACAGTTGTCCAACTACGACAGTCAAAAAAAAGCTGCTAATATTTTTTAATCAAGATTCAAGTACGTTTTCCACTATATCATGAAGCTTCTCCTTTAACCTCTCTGCATCTCTGAATATACGTTTCAAAATTTTTAGAAAAACAATATTTGGGAGAAACAGTTTTGAAGTAAAATCGCAGAAGCATCACAAAAGTCTTATATATGGTATTGTTATTTTCTAATTCAAAACACCCTACATATTTTCACAGTTCAACTTGATATTTCTACTATTTTGTTCACAATTAAATTCAATATCTAACACAATAAGAATAAATATCTCATACAACAAGTCTGACTTTGAAAAAGCATGATTTTCCAAAGTAGACTAAAAATGCTGAAGGTGGTCATCAGTTACAATCTTTTTCTTATAAGCAGCAGCCTCAAAAAATTTGAAAAGATCGTTGAGACATAAAGTACAAAGTTCTGTTTCTATTAGATTTTCAACATAAGCTATAATAAGCAAAGATTTTACACAAACCAATAAGCATCAGCAGAGAATAGGAAATCGCAGTGAAATAACAGAGTGAGTAGACGTGAATCTTTCAAAATTTGATGCCGACAAGGTTAAGCTTGTTTGAGAAACAAAGTTGACAGGTTTGTATTATTGACATATTAGAATAAATACACAGAAATATAATATGATTAAAATAAATGAATTTCTTTTATCTTTGACCGGAAAATCGAGAGAGAACATGTCTTAACGCATTTCAATAGTATATATTTTCACAAACGTTGTCAATTCATCAATTAGAAATATCAAAATATATTCTCGAAGTTTAGATGTATAGTTTCATGAAAATATTTGTTTGTCATCATATTGAATTTTTAATATAAAATTTTATAATCCGCACTTATGACAATTAGTCACAGTGGTAAACAATAAAATCGGCAAGAAAAAGTTTTCTTAGCATTATGAAGAAATAGCTTAGAAAAGTTTACTAATGAATATAATTTTTGTCTTTTCGTAACATTTTGATAAACTCAAAATATGAATGTTAAATTTCAAATTTCATTTACCAGCGAGATCATTTATAAATCCATTTCATGGTGTGGATCTTCAATTTTCAAATCTCACCCTCGCCCTCGTGCAGGTTGTATATGATTCAATTATATGTCTATCAATGGAGCTATTTAGAAAGCGAAGTAGGAATTATGCTTCAGTATGATGAGATATAGATGGCATAGTATGGGATTCTATTTCTTTCATGTGTCTTTTAGAAATTTTACCGTTAATCGATGATCATCTTCTAATTTTCTTGTTCTTTGTCTAACTTCAGTTGTTAATGCATTAATATTAGAAGAATCAATTTCTACACGGTTACGAAGAGAACGAAGTTCTTCAACTATATTTAATTGCATTTTTTCTAATTGTTCTCGTTGAATATTAGTTTCACCAAGTTGTTTTCGAATTCCTTCAACACTTAATTTAACAAAAACATGAAAGAGAAATCATTAGTTGAAAATGAAAATCTTGTTTATTAGAATTCAAACCTAAGTGATTGAGTATCACGTCGAAGAAGATATTCTTTTTGTATAGCTGATATTTGTTGTTCAAGTCCTCGAATATTTGCATTAGCTGATAATGTTGATTGATGTTCATCACTAAATGTATCTTCATTTCGTTTAATACGTGCTGTTAATTGTAGAATAACATCATTTTGAATACGAATATTATTTTCGATTTGTTGACGAGATAAACGTTCTTCTTGAAGAATTGTTTGACTTTGACGAATCTAAAAACAAAAAATGAATATTTTAATATTTTTTTTAAAAGAAATATATGCACATACAGCATTGAATAATTCAGTTTGTAATCGAACAACTTCTTCAAGTAAAGCACGATTAGATATTTCTGTCATTTGTAAACGACTTTCTAATTGTTTTACTTTATATAAAGATTGATTTAATGAATCATCAAACCTTGTATAAACAATATTAATATAGAAAAATATATTTTTATAGAAGATTAAAAGAAAACAAAAAGAATTACATTGGTGGTTGAGTACCAGTTCGTAATGGAAATATTGGTGGATTTGGTAATGATTGTGTACCTATTGGAGGTAACATTGGTGGAGGAAAACGTGCATCAATAGGCATAAGTTGAGATGATGATGGTGTTGGAACATTTGACGGTTGAGGTCTACGAATAAACAGAACAAATTTTTAATTTTAATTAAATTTAATATGTTACGTTCGAGGCAAGTCAGGTAACAAGGGTCCTGCATTAGGAAATCGTCGTTGTGTATCCATCTGTTATGTAATTAACTAAATGAGAAAAAAAAGAAATGAACGCTTTGTCATATAATTGATTGACAGGCATAATATAAAAGATCACTTACGCTCGGACCACTTGACAAGTAGATGCTCTTGACAACAACGGTGTTATAGAAGATTAGACGATGTATGGCAATTCCATGCTCTAAGTTTAAAAGCGTTGCCAGGAATCGACCTCTTTTGTCCTCCTCTTTTGTTACATGTAAGGATTTTTTTAAATAAATAATCGATGAATGAACGTAGAGTAGCTGTACCTCGAACCAATCAACTGTGTGATGATTCACTAAACTTACTTTATGAGTATTAAAATAAAAAATTTGCAAATAATAACAATGTCTCTATTTAAATAATTTATTAAAACTAATGTTATTATCATTAATGTTATTAAACAGAAAAAAACTCATCATTTAGATTTGTTTGTTCTTAAAAAAAAAAGAAAGAATTGTTTATTGTCGCTTCTAGTCATATAATCAGGGTTTGCAATGAAAATCTAAAACAAAATGTATGATCTACTGACTGATGTGGATGACTCATCTCATCATTTCTATAATTAATTTATTGATGCACTTGTTCACATGATTTTATAACCGGGTCCATTAAAAAGATTTTTACACCAAAAAATTAGGCATATTTTATAACATCAGTAAATCATATTTTCGTCGTGGCCATTTTCCATTTTTTAATTCTTTGCACACCATTTACTAACGACATCATGAGCATCGTTAGTTGCATTGGTTTCTGTTGATGCTAAGCAACACGAACGAGTGAGCGAAAAGTGAACTAATGAATGACTATCATATCACAAAAAACTATGTGATCACAGTCTTCTGTCGTCATCCGGTTGTATGATTTTTTTATTATAAACTTAGCAAAAAACGAAGCAACGCTACTCAATGTTTTAAATTCTACGTTCGTTTCCATCGCACGTAAAAAACAGACACGAATGCAGACTACTATATAAAATTTGAAAAAACTCATACTGAACTTTTTTTATTAGGGATTTCTTTAAGATCATTGACAATATTATCAAATATATTTACATTTCAATATGGTTTTTTTGTTTTAAGGTCTAATAAATAGTAATTCCTTTTGTTGTTAGATATAACTGTTTTAGTTTTTCAAAAAAAAAAATATGACTATTTCCATATAATTTTAAAATAGTAGGTTTGTTTTTCAGTGTCTAAATAGTGATAGTTACTGATATATTAAATTGAAACCTATAAATCTTTGTAGAAATATAGGAGTTGAAAAAACCTTCTTCTTATCAATCGAACTAAATTCTATTTTGTTAAAGGACACGTCTTTTTTATTTGCATCGAATAAATCTTAGTTGTACACAAGTGTTAAATGAAAGATAACTCTAATTCTGATGCGCATAAATTTATTCTGAGCGTAGCCTCAATTTTAATAAGAAGACTAGAAGATCACAACCATTGTTGAAAACGATATGATCAAACTTCGTATAACGTTGAAAAATTGCTTTTTTAAATCTATTTAACATTCTGTCATTTCAGATTTTTTTTTGTGTTTCTACCATGTCACAACCACGAGAATTAATGTGTTCAATCTGTGAAAAAACTTCAAGAGTACGACGCAATAAATTCAAGTTTATTACAACAGCAGCAGTTGAACATAAAATGTTATCTGCTTATCGATCTGTACATGGTCATGATCCACCTGTTCCATTGATTGGTACTCCTGTTCACAAAAAATGTTATCACAATTTATACGAACGATATCATTATAAGAAAAGCAAGAAGTCAATAATTACTTCCAATGAACCATCATCAATGCAACTACCTGATAATTCACAATATCTTCTTCATTCAAACAACGTGCCAATGTTCATTTCAACTGCTCTCTCTACTGATAATAATGATTCATCGATTAAAGCAAATAAGAACAAATTATCTTTATCTTTAAATGATAAAAATTTGAAATTAAACAAAGAACTTATTGTACCTCTTGAAAAAATTAACCTTCAAACTTTGACTAATGTTAATACCGATCAGGTTCAATCAATTCAGTTTAATGCAGCTACAACTTGTTCCTTGCCCATGTTGCAACGTGAACGAAACATATTAGGTGAGCAACTACTGTCAAGCGACGGTCAATCATTTCATATGCTCTTCTTCATTTTTCATTAGGTTCCATCATAAACACGAATGTTGATATGGTATCTCATTTTCAAATACTGAACCAAGATTCTATAGATGAACGTACTCAATTCAACTCAACATTCACATCGCCCAAACGAAACACATGTCCAAATGAAATGATATATAATGAAAATAATTGTAATGAACTAATATTAACATCTTCTCCGATTACATCGCTACCAACTACAAATTTATCTCATAATTTGAACATGATTAGAACAATAAATGGTAATTCTCAGCTTAGATAATTTCTTATTATCTAACTTTCGTTGATTCGATTTCCTTTTTTTTTTATTTAATTTCACTCAGATTTACACAAAAGTCATTTGCTTTCATCAACTTCGATCTCACTCGTCGATGATCAAGAAGAATCATTTGTTCTAAGTGAAGTTCATGATCAAGAATCAGATTCATGGCTAATAAGAAATTTTTCAGGTTTCTTCTTAATAAATCCTTTGCATATCATCAGTAGGTGCCAAAGGTTTTTTAGATTCTAGTACTTCATTCAACATTAATACTGCTAATAGTCTTCAGCAACCTGATTTATTACCAGTTACCAAAAATACTAATAATGAAATTGAAATTACTGTTGCTACATTGCTTTCAATGATGATTGAAATGGTTGTCGAAAAGATAGATATTAGTAAGCATAGCGCATTTGTTTGAAAACAATAACTCATGTAACCAGATGGATTAGTCCATTTTCGCCGAATTGTTTTCGCTGACGGCAATATTGGAATAGCCAAAAAATTCTTCCAATAAGTTTGCATTGGCGAAAAGCATTGTCGGCGAAAATAGAAGTTACTCAAGCAGATATCTGTTATATAGAGCTGAAAGAATTGTCTACTTTTCGCTAGAAATGAATTTCATATTCGTTTTATTTCTTTTTCTTAGGATCGAAGTATCCATTGATTTTTTCAAAATTGGTCAATGATGAATGTTTTTCATTAGCACATTTGACACAATCACAAATTGAAGTTATACCAAATACTGAAACCATAATTTTACCAACAAAAGAACAAACTAATAAATTGCTTAGTAAGAAACTGCAAAAATTTATTTGAAATTAGATCAATTTCTTGTAGATCTTGATATGCCACTTTTGATCGATAGTAGTTCTACATCCAGCACCGTCCTTCAAGCATCAAAGTCTCCAACTGATAATGTACATGAAGAGGCATCAGTTATTGAATACGAATCAGATCAATTTATGAATACAAGTATTGGTAATCGAGGTCAATGTGATCTAAATTGTTTTAATGATTTGCCAACCTTGACTTCATTATTAGAAGAAAATCAAAAAATTGGTTTTTATGATATTGATGATGGCGCGAGTATTAGTAGTGAAGATTCATCCATATTGACATCTGCTCGATATGCATCTTCACCTATAGCTTTAGGTGATAATGAACGTTTAAATAGTTCATCTGATGAAATAAATACTTTTCCAGCGAAATTAACAAGTTCAAGAAAGTTAAGTTCACGATGTGTTTCATACAAGCGAAAAGTTAGTTAATATTTTTATGACCGATATCAGCAATCATATATATTTCTTTAGATTGGTATGTCTATTCGTCGAAAAGGACCAAGCATTTCTCGTCACAGTCAAATGAATATTGAAAATCATTATCCTGATACAGAACGTTTTGAAAGTCTATTTCAATCACCAATAGCTGAGCTTAGCGCTTGGCTATCAGAACAAGTACGAGACAAACTCATTTCACTTAACATTGTCAAAGAAAAATTTAAAAAAATTATTGATGCTCACCATCCAAAAAAATTTGATAACATTAAGTTAAGGAATGACTGGCTCCAGCGACAACTGCAACAACATTCACCAGACTACTTTTGGTTTGGTACTATTGCCAAATGTCATGGAACATATGTTGGTTTGAATAATATCGATTATCATTTAAAAAAGCTTTTGTCATCATCACTTACGTCCACCTTGTCACAATCAAGTCCCTCCCCTACTGTTGATTACGACGATGATATAAATAACCAAAAGAAAAATTTATGCCAAACGTTATTCACAACAATAACTACATTACGAGAACATATTCGTGATAATGTTCATCTAGTTCGAATCTTCAATGAAGAACCTGAAAAAATGATCCATTTAACAGCTAGTTCATTTAATAACCTTGTTCCAATGCTGCTTCGGAATTTCATTGGCATATTAACAGCAAGTGATCGAGGTTTTTTGAAAATCAAGAGAGAATATATGTAAGATAGATAATTTAATATTGAAATCAGTATATGAAGAATTAATGCTCTGCTTATTTTTCGGTTCAGGTATTTCGATATGTTTGATATTGATTTATTTCGTAATAGTCATGAATGGCTAAAAAATATTTCAATTTGTTTTGATATTATCAATGTTCAAAATGATCGAATTGTGACACCCAAGCATATTTTATTAGCCAATGAAGTCTACAGACACGCTCATTCGTATGAATTATTGACAGTATTGAATAGATATGGTGTTGTATGTTCGCATCAGAATCTCTCTCGTCTTTATCATTCTATTGGAAAGAATGATGATACATCCGCATCTGCAATACCTACAAATGTACGTAACAATTGTTTTATGATCGAAGTACATGATAATTTCGATATGAATAAAGAAACGTTAAGAGGTGAAGGAAGTTTACATGTTGTTAATCGAGTTATTTTGCAAACTAGTGAAAATGATGGCAAACTTACCCATTTTTCTTCTCCAATGTCTTCAAATACTGCACGTTCGTCATCACAACTATCTTCAAACAATGTAAATGTACAAAAAAATATATTGTCGTCTTCATCTTCTGCTAATTCAGCTTTAATTTTGTCTACTTTAACGAATGCAAGTGATATATCAGGTATGCTTTCTTTATTTTTCTTAGCAATGTTATAAGTTATTTTTTTATTTTCAGCTACAACAACAAATCATTTAAGCAAACCGACTAGTCTTTACAAGGAGTTTCAATCCTCAAATCATGGTGTATCTTTATTTTGCTTTGATCTAGTCAAAAGTTGGTTCAGTACAAATTATTTAAATCCTTCTTTATTAGTACCACGACATTGTACACCTATTCCATTAATATCAGGTTTTTTTGCCTCTTATTTGTCATCATCTTTACGTCCAATACATCATGTAACATTTCTTCCACCTATGCATGATGATCCAAATAAAACTTCGACCACATACGCATGCATGGAATCAACAAAACAACGGTTATTAGATAGTGGCATACAAGAAGTAGCGGTAATTGTTGTTGATGAAAAGATTTACAGAAATTGTATTGAAGTAAGCAATATTTTTTTCTACATACAGGATTGATGCTGATTTTTATAATTAAGGTAAAAGAAAATAATAAATTACTTTTTAATCGAGTATTACCTTATCCAGGTGAATTTCATTTAATGAAAAACTATATGATTGTCGTCTGGGGCATATTAGAAGGATCTGGCATTGATACAGCATTAGGTGAATTATACAAAGGAGCCAGCCTTCGATCAATTATGAATTGCTCTCATTTTAATAAATCTTTACGTGCTATGAAATTGCTGCATTCCGCTTTAGCCGCATTAATCATTCATGAGTTTCTTTCTATTGTTCCACGTGAAATCTTCGATGATATTGAAGTTATTATGCAATCCATACCACTTGATGTTTCTACTAATACATGTAAAAGTGCATGGTTAGTACTGCTTTAAGTCTTGTCACCTTTTGTATTATAAATTTTCTATGTATTGAAAGGTTTGAAAAAGTTCAGCAAGTTGTGCAACAGCATCAACTCAGTGTAATGTTCAATGAATGGGTTTGTGAGAAAAGCAGTCAGAACAAAAAATTCAAGTTTTGGCATTATGTTTTTAATGACCTAATAGGTCCATTAATTGACATGTACATTGCTATCCGATCAGCTGATTTCGATAGTCGCAATGCAGCATTAAGTCGAATGGCACCATTGTTTTTCTCAACAAACCATTTGAACTATGGTAAATTTTCTTTTTTCATAACAATTAATTACTGAGAAGAACATCAGTTTTATAGGCATGCAAGTGTATTAAACTTTTAGAAGAACATTCTGAGGAAAGTGAAACTATACCGTATACAAAAAGACTATTATGCCAATGATATCTTGTCAAAATGCATATCAAATCTTCTTGACCTCTTCATTTCAGATGCGGAATTTTCTATCTTGAATCGTTCTGTAAAAATGATACTACGTTTTTGATATAAGATCGTACAAGAAATGGGACAGAGATTACTCAAAAAAGTCAAATTTAAAACTAACAGACTCCAAATAAGACCTGCAGATTGTCTACTGGATTTTTTTGTTTAATTGTAACAGTTTTTCACATTAATTTTAGCTCGATTATGTGCGCGTCACCTTACCGATCTTCGTTCATGTTCCGATGAATTATTCAATGTGCTTGCCAAGGCGTTTGCAGTTCAACGAACATCACGTCCTTTTTCTTCAATACCGATGGACCAGACAATTGAAGTAACAATCAATAAAGCCGGTAAAGGTCATGCAGGAATTAGTGGTCGATATAATAAAAATATGATTGATATCTGGTGTAGATCCTTTTCTTATCGTTCATTATTATCTACTCTTACATTTGAATTTGCTGAATATGAAACTGATAACGACAATATAGATGCTCATATTGAATGTAGTCCTTCAAGACTTGAATCAGATCAGCATGATTTTGCTACATTACTTAATTTCTTCTACAAAGAACGTTTATTTACATGTGAAGATGAAACTGTTACACAACTCTTTTTTGGACAACAATTTCAAACAGAAATTATTGATGATATTTTGGATTATGTTCGGCGTGGAAAAGTAGCTCTTGAAGAATTTGTAAGTATAATTAGTTCTGGAAATAATTATTTATCTTTTTGTTCTAGATAAAGGAACGTTTTGTTTTGTGTTCAATTCCATCTCAAACTAGTATGAACAAGATGAAATTACTGAAATTACGTGACAATGATAGATATGATCCACAATCTGGCCTTGTTAAACGTACACCAAAGAAAGTAATCGACAATATTAAAGAAATAGACGAAATTATAATAAAAGCAATTATTCTTAGTCAATATCGGCCAAAAATAAATTTAATTGAATTTTTTGGACATGAATTTTCATCTCGACCAATTTCACTATGCGATCGAAACAACAATGACTTAATGAACAACCAAAACAAATCCCAAGTTCTTACATTTTTCAAAAAAAAATTTCCAGAAAGCTTTAGTTCAATTAAACCAATTGATATTTCATCAATGCCTATTAATGAATGTGCTTTACTTATTGACGGTGGTGCTCTCTTGCAAACACGTCCTCCATCCAATTATACAGTGCTAGATTATGCAATTTTTCTACTGGAAAAAAAAATTATTATAGAATTTAATTATTTTGATCGAATTGACATTGTTTTTGATTCTAATCGAAGTTATTCGATAAAATCTTTCATTCCGAGACATAAAATGATTAATGAACAAAAATGTGTTTATTATAAGCTGTTACCAGAACATAAAATACCTACCGGTCAACAATTTGATCATATTTTACGAAGTGGTAATCGTGCTGTTTTAGCAGCTGCTGTTGTCCAATGTTGGCAGTTGCCATCAGTACTCAAATTATTACCTATACACAAGAAACTCGTTGTTGGTGGTCCAAATGCAACTGCTTTCTATCTTTCACGTAAGACTGAAACTTTTTCGTGTTTTAGACAAAAACGGCAGTATAGCCTATAATCTTATCTTATCAACAAATATCCGTAAGTAGTTACTTATTGACTAAAATTCTTATATATATATATTTGACTTTTTATTTCAGCTTCCACTATTTCTTTAATTGGGTATATGACATACGCTGTTTTGCTTGTATATTTTAGTTTTTCTACCAGATCTGCAGTAGTCATGAGGAAAGAGAATATAATTGAGGAAAATCATAGCTTTTCTTTGGCTGAAATGTTTTATCAAACAAAATAATAATAATAATAATAATAATAGAAAACGTGTTAAGATGTATACAACACATCAGTGATTCAATAGTAGTCTTGTCGAGATTTATTATATATTTTCCGAAGCAATAGATACGCTTCACGTCTACCAAAAAATAGTCTGATTCTCGCCTAAATTAGAATTAAATTAATTATTCTGAACAAGTTTCCTGTTGTAAATAAATGAGATGGTTCGTTTTAGGATGGTCTTGTTGATCTATATATATTACCAATACTGTTAAATTGTTGGTCATTTTTCTCAATGAACTTGAAATTAGACAATAGCGCAGTCAAGATTATTTTGAATGATATAATTAGGCTGTATCCATTTTATTATTTTTGGCTTCCATTTGATTCTCTGATATACCGCTGTAGCATAGTAACAACGTAATTTTTGGGAATTAATATACCACCGATTCTCGTATGTTCATATGTCTCTAATGCTAGTCTTGATATTTAATTATATCCTAGTTGATTTCCTGCTATAAATTTTTTATTTACCGAAATTTTAGATGATTTACCACCTGAAGAAGCACTTGATTTGGAAAGTAATCATGACGAAGCCGATACTCGTCTCATTCTTCATTTACAAGATGCTGCATTGACCAATTATAAAACAGTTATTGTACGATCTGCAGATACTGATGTTGTTTTTCTCATGATATCATATGCCAATACTATCAATTTAACAAATCTTGTCGTTGATGCAACTGTTCGTAGTGGTCAAGAGAAATATATCAATTGTACGATGATCCATAATGATTTAATCAACAAATACAAAATTTTTCCAGAACTTCTACTCGTTCTACATGCGCTTACTGGATGTGATACCACTTCTTTTTTCCGAAATATATCAAAAACAAAATTTTTTGAAAATTTTTTTGCTGATCCTCGTCTATACGATGACCTTGAAAAACTTTCTGTTTTTCCCATGGTTCAAGAAGATATTAAAGTTGTCGAAAGATTGATCTTTAATTGTATTCATCATGCGGAACGGCGATCAATAATAATGAATAATTCAAATCTCATTTCGTATAATCTATCAAATATTAACTCATCGATTGATACATCTTTTCTTTCAATTGATAATATACGAGCAGCTATGGCTATTAGTGCACTTCGAAAAGGCAACAAATCCATCGTCCTCACCCTTCCACCATCATCCGATGCATTGTTTCATCACTGTCGTAGAGCAAGTAGACAATATCATATATGGAGAAATGCACATATAGCGAATATTCCTTATCCTGAACTATTTGGTTTTGAAAATATCAATAATGAAATTAAAATTAAATGGACAACAAAAAACCCTTTACCTGAAGATAATTTTCTTTTCCATGTAAATAGTATTTTTCATGTTTATCATTTTATAATTATCTATTGCATTTTAGTCGTGCAAATGTAAAGGTAGTTGTGAGAAGATTTGCAAATGTGGAAAATATTCACAACCATGCACTTTATACTGTTCCTGTGATGCAACAAAGTGTTGTAATCGATCATCAATTTCTCAACATCTATCAATTGGTCATGCTCAATCTGTAAGTTTAGAAACATTTTATCTCTACTATTACAATCTCATTTTTAGTCATCAATTGTATCTATGCATATGGATAATATGTTACATGATCATAACTATTTACATAAAACCAATGAAAGCATCGATTATGATCAATCATCTTTTGATTCTGGTGAAGATAATTATGCTGATAGTTCAGATTCTGAAGAGGTAAAAAGAAAAAATAAATATGAAAAAATAAATCTCTTATTTACTTTTTTTTTCAGGATATAATTCTTCCACCTGACAATCAATCTTCAACTAGCTCATGCAATAAAATTGATTTAAAACGTAAAGATTCTTTTATATCTGAATCAATGTCATTATCGCTGGTACAGTTTTTCAGATTTCATTTTTCTTATTTTATTCATCGAAGTTTTATTTTAGAAAAAGACGAAATCATATGATCATGTTCTTTCATTCGATTGACGTAGCAATATTCATTTAAGAATATATATTTTTTATTAGGATTTTATCTTGTCATTTTTCTATTAACATATATGTACACTTATATTTTTCTATTGATATTTTATTTCTGTTTTTTTTAACTATTATTTGTATTTTTTCTCTTGATAATGATAAAATAAAACATTTCCTTAAAAAATATACAAAATTCAAAATGGCTAAAGATTGAGGAAAAAGTTTAGTACAACAGCAATATGTCAAATGTTGAGAGTCAAATAATAACAAATCAATGATGAAGCCATTTTTGTGATGTTTCTATATCAATCCCCTACAATGGTGTATTATCCAGTAGCGTCCTCTATAGTTTTTCTAAAAATGGCCAGCGAGATATTTAACAGAAATACTGTACAAATTACGCTGATTCTAAATATATATAAATCTTAATATTTGACCCGGTTATAAAAAAATCATTATACAGTGCATTTAGAAATGACCACTAAAAAATAAGCGTCTTCGATGCATCAGTCAGTTGATCAGTATCTGTACATTTTACTTATATAACTAAAGTGTATCCGTACACTTTATTTTCATCACCAAAGTGTATCAAAGTGTACGGATACGGAAGTCAATTTTTTTTCAAATATAAAATATAAATTGAAATATTCGGATCATTCATAATCGTGAAATGTAAGTACATAATCATCCAAAAATAACAAGTACCTATCTTATTTCATTATTTACCGTTTTACAAAAAAATAAGCAAAGAAAAACGCGAGTTTACAGAAAAAAACATAAACGAGTTTTGTATTGTATAGAGTCGCATCATTATCCGAGATCGAGAAAAAAAGAAAGTATATCTAATTAATGATAAGACCGATCGAAAGATATCACAATTTACCATGGCCTTTCCATTCTATTTAATTTAAAACTTCTTAGCACTTTTAATTCATTAATATGAAAGTGTAAATTTATTCTGTACAGTGTACGACATACACTTTGTTTTTCCAACAAAACTGTAAAACAGAGTGTACATAAAAAACAGCAGATGTTCTGTACATTTTGTTTCTGCTTGGTACACCTGCTATTGCAAACCCTGCATATAATCTGTAGTATGACATTGAATACTTCTACAGATCAGACACACTGCGGCATCGACACTCTTTGATATGCTTGGTCAGTTAGATCAATTAGTGTATAGGATGTTGTCGATTGGAAAAAGAATCAAATTACTTAGGGGTACCCAAAAGTAGTTGCGAAGGTATCTTATTTTCTTATAGAATGCTTGAGGAAATTTTCTTTCTTTATGAGGTGATAGAGAAAATGAAGCTCTATTTTTCTATGCTATTTCATCTCTATTCAACTGGTATCATCGTAGTAAAATGTCGATAAGAACTTTTTTGTGTAAAACTTCACTAGCGCCTGATGCAGCTTAACACGCTTTCCATCTCAATATCCAATCATTTAATATGTTGTATTAATAAACAAAATATACCACAAGATGCAGTGGGAAAAGCTCTACAATTTGTCATGAACAGTTTATTTCATATATGAAACAAGAAAAAAAGGAATTTCTCTTCGCATGATTTTTTCGGGACAGCGAAAACTAGTCGCCCAGAATTTTGTTCTTTTCTGATGAGAAGTACACAATTAAAATAAACTTTACTTTGTGGATTGTAAAGTTGTTCACGCTTCATCTTGTGATGTATTTTGTTGTTTTTCAATTGAAGATATCAGGTGACCAAAAGATAAAATAAGAAAAAATCAATTCATCTTGTACCAAAACATATTATTTTCGAACGGCCGAAAATTGATGGCTCAAAATTTTGTTTATTTTGAAAACAAAAAGTGCAACTGTAAAATAAGTGGTCTTATGTATATTGTATAGCTTTTTACGCTACATCTTGTGGTATACTTTGCTTTTCAATACAACGTATTAATTGATTAAAATATTGAATCTACCTCACCCGTTCGTGGAGTTTTACACAAAATGAGTTCTTATCGACATTTTACTATTATGATATCAGTTGAATAGAGATGAAATAGCATAGAAAAATAGAGCTTCATTTTCTCTATCACCTCATAAAGAAAGAAAATTTCCTCAAGCATTCTATAAGAAAATAAGGTACCTTCGCCACTACTTTTGGATACCCCTAAGTATTTTTTAACAAATATTGTCATTGAGACGATGAAAAAAAATTGAAAGAACAAGTCACGCTTACTAATTTATAGACACCAATAAATGATATTACAGAATAATACAATTTATCTATGTCAATTAATACTTGGAGATAGTCTTACCATATAGACATACTTCTCTTGATTCTCAAATTGAAATTCTAAATCTTTATCAGACTATAATACTCACTCTTGAACTTATGAAGTGCTGCTCGTCGCTCGAAAACAAATTATTATGTTTCTGAAACTATTAAAGAGCAGGGAATTGTAGATTCACGTTTTTGTGGACTAGGAATCGATAGACTTGGACCAAAGTCTTTTCCAACAATATTTGGCATCCTCTGTATACATGAACAAGTGAAGAATCAAAGATTTGTTGTTCACTTCTTCATCAACTGATGTTTAATAAATGAAAAATTTTCGCCTGGCTAAAACCAACATTATGTTAACAAAATAGGAAATTGAACAGTTAATTGATAAACAAAACTCATCACATCAACAGTAACAACAAAGGCTTCAGTTGTATTTGTGTAAACGAAATCAAGCAAGTAGAGAACTGCAGGCACAAGTTTTTGTTGACCTGGACGTGACAAAAACTAAATTGCTGAGCCTACGATTCCCTATAGGCAAGACTACTTTGAATAAATATTCAGGTGTACAGATGATAATGTCAAACAATTTGACTTATTTGAAAAAGAAAATGAAATCATTGATGAATTTCGCTAGATCGACAAACTGCAATATGAAGACAATTTTCTAATTTAAATTTGTATCAAATTCATTTATTTCATCAAATATATTTTTCTATTTATATTTTTTATTGATTAATTTCTATTAATTCTATAATCATCACATTTAATAATCATTGATTTGTCTAGAAGAATAACTTCTGTATCATTAGAAACATGAGAAATACATCTACTGATTCATCAATTGCTTGTCATAATTTGAATAAATGTTTTATTGTATCAAGACAAAAATTTTAACCAATTATAGTTTACAGATAAAACTCTACTCTTTTATAAATTGATTATGTTTTTCAAAAGAGGAATTTGTATACAAAAATTATATCTCATATGTCCTTGCATTGTACAGATGCAGCTTTCCAAGGTGTATTAGATGTATTAATGTGTTCCATCTTACTCATTCTGTTGCAATTACTTCTCAATGATGTTGCTTTATGACGTCATAAGATGTTTCTACAAAGAACAGAAAGGGATAAAAAAAAAAGATTATTGCCAGGGATGGGGATCGAACCCATGCTCACTATTGTGAATTGGATCTTAAGTCCAACGCCTTAACCACTCGGCCACCCTGGCACGTCCTTCTAAATTACAAATGTGGAATACAATATGGTACAAAAATGTTCTTTGCCCCTGGAAGAATCATCCTATACACTATTTATAATAATTTAAAACGAAAATAACCATATTTCACACAAATATAAATTGACATCTAAGTTTAATGAATTCTACGATCAGACCTGTTATATAATTTTATATGACACTCATTATTTAATTGGAAATTTTCGCATTAAAAAGATGTTATTGATTCTCTCGGACTGATTTTCTTCTAAAGGAAAATGTTACTGTACAAGAGAACAATTATATAAAGTTTTTTTTTTTGTGAACTTATCTTGAGAAAATCTTAAACAATGAACAAAAGCAATTACTTCTAGGTAGAAGAAGAAATACATCGTCATCGTTCCTATTTTTTTTTCTCTACTTTTAATGGTTTCTAATCGACATTAATTTACACATAGCCATTATATTCCTTACATAAAAATCAGGTTTTTTTCATTATAAGAAAAAAAAGAAATAATACTCTATTTTGTTGTTAGGAAATAAAAAAAGAAGAGTAAAAAATGCTTTCAAAGTCATTAAGAAAAAATCTATTTGCTCATTTTTTAGTTAAAAAAACTTTTTTTTGTGTTGCCTTATTTTGTTTTTACTTTAAAATGGAATATTATATATATAAGAGAAGGAATGGAAAATAATGACACCTCTCATTTCAAAAATGAAAGACGTTATGTGGTATACGTGTCTCTTTCTCTTTTGTATTGTTTTCACTGCTTTTGGTGGAAACTACACCTATTATGATGGTAAGATAAAATACAACATCTTACGTTTTTTTTTCTCTCCTTTTAACTTAATATTCATTTTTCGATAGGTTTTGCGCATAAAAATAATAATCAAACAATAGCAAATCAAACAATTGGTACTTGTGTTTGTCAATGTTTATTAACGAATGGATGCGCAGCATTAACTTTTTATAGTGGCACTGAAACATGCTCTCTTGTTTATGATACAATAATTACTGAGAATGATGTTACTTTGAATAACACAGCTAAGTTATTACTTATTTCCGCTAATCTTTCTTAAACAACTTAACAAACACAAAACGAAATATTCATCCATTATGCAAGAACAATAAAAATGAATCAACAACAAAAACTTTCGATTCATTGGAATTTTTGCTTATTATTTTCTTGTAAATAAAATTGAAGAAAACTTTAATTTTAATTTCTTTTTTTCCTACTCTATAACTAGTCATATGCATTTTCAGTTAATTGATCATTAGTTCAGTATAATTAGTGCACATTGATATCAATATAGTCAATGAGCACCAATATTAGTCTAATCGATGTTTCGGTAGACCCCCTATCAATGACTCACTATTTTGCATTTTAGTTTTTACATCAACACTGCACGTTCAATATTTTTGTATTATGTTACACTTTTCCGTAATTTAGTTTTAAAAGCAAACTTATAATGTAAATTATGTAAAAATAAATGAAAGACTAACATGGTCTATCAGAGTATGTTCGTTTGAGCCTGTTAAACTGTAAT